AGCTGGAACTGGAAATTCGACTATAACACACTACGTTAGGATATCCTAGAACAAAATAACTGTTTTTTGGTGACAAAATGACGTTGCGGTAAGTTTTGCAGCTTTTTGTGGAATTCAGACAATTTGGCTAGGATTAACTTCCTCTCGGAAATTTGAAAGTTGCTTTATTGAAATTCGATATCAAGTGACAAGAAGACGTCATTTTTAAAACAAACAAACGAAACCCTTAACCTTACAAAAAGTCGAGACTCCGAGAGAGCTTCGTATAAAAATCGAGACTGCCAGACGCACATAACCGCTAAAAAACGAGAATGCCAGACCCGTGAAATTCGCCACCCCTATGGCTAAAATGGCCCCTCTTCAAATCAGTGCTAAAACTCTTTAAAAGATACACGGTACAAAATGTTATTTGAACCAAAAGGCTTCATGTACAGAACCGAAAATTGGGCCGGGTCGCACTAGAGCGAATTCAAATATTTCCAATTTTTGGCGAGGAAAAAAATTACCGCCACTAACCCTATCCAGGGTACGAGTCATTAGAATTTAAAAACGCCGCTCATATTCCTCGTTTCCACTGAAATAACTGTGAAAAGCGTCAGACGGACCGGGTAAAATATGATTTTGTTAATCGACCATTTTAAAAAGTTTCGCAAACGTTTACCTTACAGGTTCAAGTTCATGTTGAAACGTAATCTCGAAAATCTCGAATTCCTTAAATTGTCCTAATTTTACGTCAATTTTGTTTGGATTTTTTTTCTTCGATTGGCATCTGCTCTCTAATAAGAAAATTAAAAAGAAAGCATGTATTATTACATGTAGAAATAAAAGCACAAGTGTCGCTATATACTTAAACATTCTGCGTTTTTGGGTTGCCGCTATTATGGGCGCCAATATATGTCACTGGCCTGGCTTAAGCCTTCATTTAGAAGTTTTTTCACTGTGCTTTCATTTGCTCGGCCGCTGTCGCGGGTGCTTTGGGCAAACTCCTAAGAGTTTGATCATAGCTGTGGATTGGAAGAGAATCCTGGGTACAATTCACCAGCCTCGATTTATTTTGTAACTGCCATGCTCATGCAGGATACATCAATCCATCTCATTCCACAATCAAAATCTCTAATAATGTCAAATGATGTGACATTAAAATG